GATCCTGCTGAATTACATTGTGTGTATCTTCCCCAAAGAAAGAATTGAGCTCTGTATCTCAATTCATTTCTCTTTTGGTCAGGGTTTCCTGAGCAGAAAATGAGGTGGCTCCATTATTAGCATCTGTTGGTCCGTGATTTCCCAGAAGCTGTATCCTACCTCTATCCCCGTCTTCTTGGTAGAATACCAGGTTGGTTCTTCACAAGCGATTTTCATGGATTTCCATTTAATTTCTTGACTCATCTTAGAGCTTACTCATGAGAATTCGTCACAGAAAATCCCTTTTTTTTCCCATGTCCTGGTTACAGCACTGTCTGCCTTTCTCCTCCTTGCTGTGTTTTTGCAGCAGATTCTCTCTTTTTGGTTGTTCCTCCCCAGAGACCCATCAGGATTTTGTAGGGCCATTTCCTTGCCACTTTTTCCTGCAGATTTCATGCCAATGAACTGGCAAATGTCTGGAGGGTAGATTGTTTGTAACCAAGACATGACTGAGGCTTGGAAACCATTTTTTGGCTGTTCTGAATGTCCCAGATAGCTGTTGCACAAATTCCTGGCCATGTGGACAAGATCCTACGTTCATTAGGACTGCAGAACAGCAGGGTTACTTGTTAGACTCGTTAGTGCTCGTCCCCTTTTCCCTGCACTGTTAGAGGTCGGGCAGCAGAGATGGCTGATTGGAATTGGTAGTGGATGGGCAGGATGGCAAAGTCTGTCCCATGGCTCAGGCACACACTTGATTGGGTTCCTTCCTGTTGGCAAGGTCTCCTTGTCCTTTGATGGGGGATCCAGTGTGCAGCGCTTGTGTTTTCTGACCTGGTTTCAGCCTAGGGACCTCTTGTCTTCATAGGATGGGAAGGGGAGTCTGAGACAGGCAGGTGGATAAAAGCTTGTTCTGTGTTACACTTTCTCCTGTCAGTTCTGTTTGATACTGATGGGGAAGGTTTGTCTCCCTGTCTGTGCTGGCAAGTGTATTTAAAGTGATTAATCTTTATGTGCAGAATTAGGACATACTCATAGACTACCTTAAAATATGAAAATATGACAGGAAAGCTCATTTAAAATATTCCAAATCATCCCCCCACCCCCAAGTGCTTTCAGACTCTGCCTTTTAGCTTTAATTAACCTTTACTTCAATTTTTATTTAGATCAGAAAAATAAATAAAGAGCCCAAGTTAATGGGATTATTTTAAGGTTCAGTTGCTGCTGAGGTTGGACTACATCTAGATAATTGAAATACACTGTGACTTAGCAGAGATAAATAACCAGATGTTTAAACATCTTGCAGCTCTCTGATCATGGTTGCTTGAAATTCCATGACCCCATTTCTGCAGAGGTGTAGTAGTGTTTCTGTGTGGGAAATGTTCTAAAGGGATTAACTGCTGTTTTGGGATCATGACTGTGATAATGGAATGTACTGAGCACATTTCTCTGCAAGATTTTTAACAGAGCTGAGGAGGGGTCCTTTGTTTGAACATCAAAAGAAATTTCAGTTATTTTTTAGTCAGTTCAGGTTTCTGGTGTAAGAAAGAACCCAAATAAAACTTGGTTTTGAGTAAGGTGACAACCAAGGCTCAAATAGGGGCTGGGCCATTTCTCTTGTACTGGTCATTTATTTCACAGTTTCTTCTGGTCCCTTGACTGAGGGGTTTTGTGTTTTGCTTTGGTTTATTTTAACTTTTTTCCAGTCACCTTCTGGATTTTTGTGCCTGACAACATTGTTTCCTGTAAGCAGCACTGTCAGCAGAAATTCCTACCCTCATCTTCCTTGAGGCCCCGCACTGTGATAAAACCAGGCAGTGGCTCACGGTACTGGCGTGAGGTGCTGGGCAAGGGGGAGAGAGGCTGCAGCAACAGGAGCTCACCGGGACTCCCAGGCATCTCTCTTGTGTCTTGGCAAATGATGTTCCTTGGTGCAGAAATCTGGGATGCAGTATTTCCATCTCTCAAATCAAAATGCTTAGACCACCAGCTTCCTTGGTCATGTGCTGAGCTGTGGCTGAACAAGGCTACAGCCATCCTGATGGCTCCCTTTCCGCTCCACAGGGGAGCTTTAGGCAGTGCTGTGGTTCCTCTCTTGGACGGGGGAGTTCAGCAGAGGATTTGGGAAGGGGAAGGCCCATGCTGAGGAGCCCTGGTTTCACAGTGAATTGGTCTCTCCCTAGTGGTCTCGGTGCATCCCTCCTGGGTGGATGGAGCAGCCGTGATGGGAGCCGGTGGAGGTGCACCTTGGAGTGTCTAGGGAGGAGTCGGCTGACAAGTCAAAATGACTTGAGGAACAGCATTAGAAGTTTTAGGATGCAACATCCTTTAGTCTTGGCCATTCTCCTGATGTCTGCCCTCCTCTATCCCCCACAGGCTCCCTCCTCCCCCACAAGGCTGACAGCCCGTGCAGCGCACTCAGAGGGTACGGCCGGGGCAGGTGCTGGGACACGCCGGCTGCCAGCAAGGGCTGCTCCCACTGCCCTGAGCTGTAAACTCGTACTGAGAACTCCTGTGTCTTGCAGTTCAGATGGGGAATTCTTCCAGTGTGTGGGAGTGGGGTTGTCTGGTTCAAATCATGTGTTTTTTGCAACATTATCCTTTGGCAGACCTTCTTGCTCACGTTGCCAAGACCGTGGCACAAGAAACTCCAGATGAAACTTGGTAGCAGTCCATTGTGTCCAAGAGGGTCAGCAGTGAAAGGGCCAGTGCTGAGCCAGAGAGGGGCTTGTCCTGGCGGCTGTCACGTTGGATATCCACGTCTGTGAGAGGGTGGAGGAGCAGCCGGGGCTTGACCCGAGGCTGTGCCAGTGAGGCTGTGTCTCCTCACCCCGGGATAGGAAGGACTGGCAGCCATGCCCTGGTAGGGGACATGGAACTGCTCATTCTGTTGTTGGAGTGTGTTTTAAAGAACACTGTGGAGGACTTATGCTGTTGGATATAAGCCATGTTTGATCTCGATGAGGCATTTTTCCCTCTGCAGATGAAGTTATGAGTCAGAGGTGCATGCTGAGAAATGAAAACCTTGACAGATTAAGCTTGATCAGACCTTTCTGGCAGAGACTTGGGTCGATGCTTTGTTATTTTTTTTAACTGAAAGGGAGTAGCTTTACATGGTCAGGTGTAAAATTCTTGGCTTCAGTACACAGATTTTAAAAACTAGACTTAGCTCATTAATCTGATGGGACACAGAGGTAAAAATTAATCCCTCCAGTGCTAGTATGGGAATTGGTGATGAAAGTGGAAGCCTCCTGTACAGCAGCCCTTTATCTTCATCATCAAGGACAATGAGTTTCTGGAGCCCTTATATGGTTCCCTGTAGGACTGTGTTACAAGACAGTGCTTTCAGAGTGCCTCGCTGCACCGGAGAGGAAACCTTCCACAATCATACCAGCACAGATGGCTTTGGCTTCGGTGAGAGTGAAGCTGAGCCAGCAATGGAAACCTGGTGTGTACACGGCAGAGCCCAGGAAACCTGTAAGGCTGGCTGGAATCCTGCAAGGCTTTGGACACAAGCTTATGTTTTCAGACTTGTGGTAGGGATGTGATCTGAGAGGAGTATTGCTCATTGTTTATTCTTTTCCTATCTTTCAATAAATAAAATAAGGTAACCCACACTCTTTTAAACTGTTCAGACAATACCAGTTCAGGCTCCTGTTTTTCAGAGCAAAAAGACTTACTGAGAAGGAAAAATCCTGCTCAGTGTGCCAGATGCCTGAGGTTGGTTCACTGTGCAGTTGCAGTACTTCCACGGGTATAAAGGCTATCCTGTTCTCACTTAGATGCAAGTACCCTGCTGCTGGCAAACCCCACGTTTGTGCCCTGGTTCATGTTTGGCACAGTAGTCCTGGTGACTTGTTCATACAGGGCTTCTTGCTCCTTTTAACTTCTGACTGATCTGACCAAATCTGTTCCAGGCTTGTGCTAGAAAAACAAGGTGTATAGTTGTCCCTTGTCCCATCACCCCCTGCCTTCTCTGTGGAAACACTCAGACTTTCAAGAAGAAAGCTGATGGGCCACATCGAACCGTCGCAATGTTTTGTTAAGAACACTGGAACATTGTGGGCCTGTTCCCTTTTTTCAGTAAACTAAGTCAATCTGGCATTTTGTCTAAAGGGGCTGACAGAGGTTCTGTTGCTGCACTCAGCACATGCAAGCTCTAAGGCTGTCTGTGCTCTAAGGAAAGAGGATTACTTTAAGTCAGTTTAAATGATACTTTAATTTAGACAAACTGGTTGTTCAGGACATGTATGTCCTTGGTGCAGGGGGCCAGGCTGCTGTGCAGGCAGTGTTGGTGCCCGGGGTGGGAGGCAATCACCTGAGCAACTGCTGTTCACAGATTTTGTTCCAAGGCCCTGGGGACTGATAAGGCAGCTTATAACGGGATCTGAACAGCACATTCAGATTATTGTACTGTAATTACTTTCCACTTTATTTGAAGTTAGCTTTAGCTTTTTTGGCCAATTATTCACAACTGCCACAGCAGCCTCTCCAATCACTGCTGGACGGGGGCTGTTTCATGGGAAGCACTGGGTAAGGGGCAGCAGGAAGAGCAGTGCCCTGCCCCATCCCCTCCTGGCAGGGCTGTGGCACAGAATGTGACAGATCACATCAAAGAAACATCTTCCAGGGGGTTTGAAACCAAGTCTCTGGTTACAGTTGCTGCACTGCTGCAGGAGCAGCAATTCCACCTCTGTTTCAGACCTCTGTGGCAGCACGTGTTGAGAGCAGCGTCCATGTGGTAGAAGGAATGATGTGAGTAAACAAGATGGTTTTGCCTTCATAACTCAAAACTCTAGTGGTAACAGGGAAGCAAAGGCTTAAAATCTTTAATCTGATCAAATTGAACTTGATCTTCTCCTGAGTTACAGAACTTTCTATGACATTCAGTTGCCTTCTCTTTCAGAGAAGAGTTATTAACAAAGCCCAAATTAATTTTTCATAGAAACTTCTGAACTGCAGGTAGCCACCCAAGATGAATCACTGTGATTTGCACTATGAAGTAGATAAATGAGAAACTACTGTCAAATGGCTGTTGAATTTATTTGCTTGATAAATACAATCCTAACAAAATAAAAGTTAACCGATATTAAGAGATTTGTCTGAAGAACATTAGAAAAATCCATGACAATTCAATAGGAATTAGTGTGAATTAAACAAACAAAAAGTTTAAATATTGCCAGCAAATATAAAATGTATGTAACGAAGGCAAGGGAGAATGCTTTAGTTTACATTTGTCATCTGATCACATTTTCTGTGTTTATAAACTTTTTCCAAATTTTAAAAAAATACTATGCTGTTTTCTATAACATATCAAAGCATTATTTGTACAAAATCAAATCATGGCCAATGATTCACAACAGTGCAATAGATAAAGAATACCACCACATCCAACAGGTGCTGAAAATAAATATCCAGATTAAAAAATAAGATAGCCTATATGCACTCTGTGGAGTTTCTGTCTATATATGGTTTGATGGATGAGTCTCATGAGTGTATCCAAAACATTAAATGGCCCTTAAATGCCAGCATGGGTGGAGGATTTTGAAGGGTAGAAGCAGTTAAAACAGCCAAACCAAAAGCAAGTCCCAGATGGGGGTGGTTGGTTTTTTAAACAACACCACAAGGGAGGCTATTGCTGAACCCCCGGTGCTTCCCCTTGGCGTCATCCTTCGGGCTTGCTTAGAAAGCACAAGTGACCGTCACGTGTGCAGGGGAAGTGCTGTATTGCTTGGTCAGGCAGACACAGCCCAAGTGACATAACCCATTCCCATCCCTGCCTACAAGCAGCGGCTATCTCTGAGGGATGGAAGCATTTAGGATGGATGAAGACAAAGCTCTTGGCTACATGGCAGCAGCATGGACAGGGCCTGTCTTGAACAGGTGTGATGAGGGTGGTTAATAAATGAGTCAGTGTGTTACCTACACCGCTAAAAGACATGAACAGCTCTTGATGAACATTTCCATCACACGGGGACATAAATAACATCTCTCAAGTTTTTACACTTACTCAGTACATCTCAGAACAAAAATGAAGCTTAAGGGCATGTCAGGTAAACACGATACCCCACAGTCTCCCACCGTTTCAGCCAACCCAGAGTAAATTTAAAGCTCCCTTGTATATAATCTGCATCAGAAAGGTATCAAAGGCACAAGCAAGAAGTGACTTGGTTAATAAGCAGAAATAATGGTGAATGAGGATGAACAGATCCACAAGGCAAATAATTAGTAAGTGTGTGTGGGTTTTTGTTTGTTTACTGAAAATGATATTTTCCAATTCTGCTCCAGTGAATGTCAATAATGATTTTGGTTTGAAATAGAACTGTTACTGAATTATTTTAAATCACCTGAAGGAAACCAGTTTTGAAATAATCTGATACTAACTGAAAAACTCTTCTGGCCTCTCCAAACTCACCTGAGTCTGATGAGTAGAAGCCACAAGTATTAGAGACAAAAGTCTCCAGGGCTTAAAAGAAAAGTTTCTTTACAGAATGTACACAGCCAGCAATAATTTGTGCAGTTAGTTAGACTCAAATTACAGTAATTTGCACAGTTCAGTTGATTTTATGCATAGCCAAGGAGCCTGATCAAATCGGAGTTTCTTTCCTGTCTTTACTTGGCGATGGCTTGACTTGCTGCTCCTTGCTTGCTTTTGGCTGCTCTTTGGCTGCTTTTGTCTCCAGGACACTGTCTCTTTGCTGCTGAGAAACGCCCCCGCGTTTTTCTGGCTCCTCTTCCTCCTGCACCTGCTGCTCTGACTTGGCTCGCTGCAGCAGCCGGAGCTGCACCCGCAGCTCTATGATGGCCTCTCGCTCCTCGTGAATCGCTTGGTTCAGGTGATTGTTCTTTATCTTTTAAGGAAGGAAAACCAAACGTCAGGGCTCCCTCTGACAAAGAACTGCTGTAGCTTGGGGGGTTTTAGCACTGCAGCGAAGCGTTGCTGCCAGCCCAGACAGCAGCGGGGACTTGCACACAACAGTAACTTAAAAACGTGAGTGTGTGGAACTGCAAACAACCAGTTTGCACATGTGCAAACATCTCTGCAAGGCTCCAGCAAGTAACTGCTAAGGGAAGAGAACCAGTGAATGCTAAGAACCAAATCTTACCTCCAGTTCCTCATTCTGTCTCTGCAAATCCTCCAAGATAACCTGCAGTTCCTCCTCATCTTCACTCTCACTTTCACTCTCGGAAGAATATTCCTCGGTTTCACTTCGGCCATGCTGCTGGCGACTGAAAGACCAGTGACAAATCCTGATTTAAGCACTTCCTCAAGTCTGCCAGAACTGTGGCAGCATAAGACAGTTAACCGAATCATCTGCCAATGGTTTTAAAAATAAATAAATAAATCAGACTTTCCTTTCAATGCTTAATAAAGCAGTGATTTCCAAGGGGGATTTTTCTACAGCACAGGGCCTAGTTTCCCTAAGATCATAATTCCAGTTAAAACAACAGAAAATATCCTGAAAGATCCAAATTTGTTGAGACTTGAATAAAAATAAGTGGCTTTCCACTGTGATGTTTGCTGGGTGAGTTCTTCAGTGTAGTCTAGAGCATTATTTCAGCAAAGTATGTGAGTAGTTGTAATCAAAGTGTGCTCGCCTGGCAGGGCTCTGATGTGAACTGTGTCTCTTACCTTTGTATTTCAGCTATTTCTGCTCGGAGACGATCTATTTCTTCCTTCTCTGAGGCAATCTGTCTCCGCAGAAACTGCTCCATGGCCAGCAGTTCTTCCTGTTCTGTTAAAATCTCGTTCTCCTGCAATGATCAGTTAGTTCACTTAAAGTCGTGACTTTATTTCCTACAGGAGCATACAGTAAGTACGAGATGATGCTGTTCTCTGAAACACTTCCAGTAGCATTGGTTAGCATGTCTGCTTTGAACTCTGATCCATCAAGACCTCAAAGCAAAAATAAGTTCAAACCCAACAATGTCTGTTCTGAATCCCCAAGATGACTGCTGTACTGAATAGTTGTGTTAATGACACACCAAATCCTGGCATGTTTGGCTGCCTTTCCTTAAATCACAAGGGAAAGCTCAGGCCAACCAGCAAAATAACTAGAAAAACTAAATTATATGTCTTTGAAGATGAATGTAAGGAGGAAGGTACAGTGGGGAGAAGATCAAAGCTACTGGGGGAAGCAACGGAAGGCAAAAAAGCCAAAACAGTTGCCTTACTTCCTTTGATCAGCAGGAAAGTAGTTTAATGGTATTAAAACTGGCTTGATTTGGAAGTGCTTTCTAAGTACATTAACAACAAATGCTACTTTTTTCTTTTTCTTTTTTTTTTTTTTGTTGCACAGTGTCTCCTTCCTGCTGTTAACAAGAGTCTGCTCAGCTCTGGGTTCACTCCTGCAGTCAGCTTTCCTTCCCTGCTTTACTTACCTTTAAAACAAAGCCTTGTGTTTTAATGCACAGAGAGACCCTGTTAAGCCTTCAATGTCCCATTGCATTAGAAGGGACAAAGGAGCGTTCAATATATCTGAAATATAAAATACCAAGAGGCAAACAGGTGAGTGCCTGCCAGCTACCTGTGCAAGCAGAATATTTATAACTTCTTCATTCTCATTCATTTCTTCTTTGGAGACATCCTCCTTTGAAAGGCTAGCAATTTCTTGTGCAATCTTTGTTTCACACTCCTGCCAGAGAAAGAGAACAACATTTAAAAGGACACCTTCCCCAGTCACTCTAGTTAATCTAAGAAAGATTTTTTTGAATGTATTACTTCCCAAATTTAGAACTACCATTTCAGTTGTCTCGAAAGCTTTCAGTGAGGTCTGTCCTTCTCTGGGACATAGAACAGTTTAAAAAAATGCTTCTCAAGTTTCTTAACCCTGAGTCTTCCACTAATTCCTCCTGGCACTCCAGGATACGATGTTTTAAGCATATAATGAATACATGCCCTGTCAAACACTGAGTTTTTAATCACACATGTATTTTTTTTGTGAACAACTGCAAAGATCTCTCTGTCCCTAGGGAGAGCCAGCTAAGCAGAAAACACAGTTGCTCATCAGGAATGTAAAGTTAAGATAAGAAAATCTGCAGTAAAAGATTGAAACATGGTTTGATCTGTGTGCCTCTGCACTGTCTCAGATTACAGATCCATGATTTAGATGTCTGGTCAATAAATAGAAAAGTTACTCACCTGTCTCTTAGCTTCTCTTAGCTTCCTCTTAAGAGCTGTTAAGATTCTTTGCACTTCCCAGAGTCTCTCTTCTTTGGATAAGTCTTTTATGCCTGCCTGCAAGTCTCTGTGTAAACAGTTCAGTAGGAACTCCTAGAAATATTGCCAAAGAAGTTAAGTGTCTTTAATACATCGCAGTAGGGCAGACTGAAAAGGAAAATCTTTTTGGTTTTGTGGCAACAGGTTGGGAATTTTGGTTTTCAAACCGTGACATGTCAACAAACAAGTGTTAACATAGACTCAGCACGTGATGTAGAGCCAGCTGAAGTGCAATACTAAAGAAACCACCCTCTTTGATGTGCTCTCCTGACCTTCCTCCCACAATAAAAGTATTGAACTATATAGCAAAGCACTCTATGAATGACACAGCTATGATCATCACAAGACTGTAACAACCTTATACACATGAAAAAGGAAAGAAAACCATCAGTCTCTTTCCAGTGGTGTCCAATGATAGGATAATTGTGATGGAATTAAAAAGTATGTTAGAAACTTACCAGAATTTACTACTGAATGTATAAAACCCAGGGCAAAATAAACAGAAAGATACTAAAGTAATTGCCAACCTGTCGCCTGATTTCTTCTTTGATGCTTTCTTGTGTTTCTGGAAGTGCTGGCATTGTTGCCATATTTGACCAGCGAAGGGGTTTTGTCACCTGCTTTAGGGTCACGTTCCCAAAGAACTCCTGAACATGTGTAAAAAATACATACAGGACACGATTGCTGATCTGCAAAGAAAGGACAGATAGGATATTGGAAACAGCAGCCTTCGGTATGCCTTTCTGTGATCTACAGTCATGCCAGTTTCATGAGAAACTAAGAGATTCAAATCTGGATTAAAAATGACACTTTGAACAATGCAGCACTGGCATTAAGGAGTCACTTCACTGTCTCTCTTACCTGTGCATCTGAGGCATTTTCATGCTGAACTCAGAATCTTCACATGTCTTAGCCTACCATAATTATTTCCATCTCTCAGAAATATATTAAATCTTTCTCTGTACCAAGGTAAAGGTAGTTAGTAAAAGGGAGCACCAACCATACTAAGTTATGGCTGATGGCTGGCTACACCTTCTCGCTCCTACCCCAACCTGCAGCATTTTCTACAGTTTCTCTCTCAGATGATTTAATATAGTAGAAAAAAAGTAGTTTGAAAGGATCTTCCAATGTATTCTGTTTTAACACGAGACAGAAGCAAGTATGTATTTTGACACTGTATCTTCCATTAAAATTAAAAAAATTATCCTGAAAAAAATATTAGAGTTCTGTCACTACCTGCACTTTAATTGCTAAGATCTAGTTACCAACAAAACATGATTGGGCCTGCACTGTTTTATGTTAATTGTTACCTCTTTTCTCAGCTAGAAAGGTGTCTGGCACAGCAAAACAGCCAAGAATAACACCCAGCCCTTTTGCTACTGGGCCTCCACCTGGACTCTTAATTATAAAGTCAAGCTTTTTTAAAGTGTGGGGTTTGTTCTGGAAGGCCCACACCCAATAATGCCATGTTTTCATGATGCACAGGATGCATTTAAATTAAATGTTTCCAAGATGTTTATTAAGGAATCAATCAATCTAGAAACCACAATATCTTACTGGAAAATGAAGTCAGTTGTTTTTCCCCAGCCATTTGACTGCAGACACCAAAGCCATTTTACCCATGTCATCACTGCACCAGAAGATCTATGTGCTGGACAAGGTTCATTGGCTTGATATTAAAATTAAGCAACAATTTAGTCTTCACTAAATTATCACTGAATCAGAAGCCCACAGAAATTGTGTATCTGCATGAATTATTGGACAATTTCAACATTAAATGACTGCTGTTCATGACAGAATTAAAACACAGACAGCAGTCTTTCCTATCATAGTAACCCAAATATCAGACCCATAGTATGCAAACTCACATGTGGAAAGCCTTTTGCTCCCCCTTTCCCAGAATTTCAGGTTCCTGAGGCATAAGCAGAAGTTGTAATTTAGCTTAACTGTATCAGACAATATCCAATTCCCACCAGCACGACAATTGCTACAAAGAAGTCCTTCTTGGGCTGAAGTTGTGCTCTAACACCTGCTGTGTGGTGCACGTACCTGGACAGTAGGGCTGAGCACTATAGAAATATTCTGGATGTTCATTTTTGTTTCCAGTTCCTCTGCAATAACATGGTCCATATGCACAATCAGCCAAGAAATTAGGAGGTGGTTACACTCTGGCAACTCTTTCAGCAGCCTCTGGCACTCCTGAACTTTCTCAGCCTCTGTGCTCTTTCCACAAGCATCTTCAAAGCGGGACGTGAGCTCTTTGGTAAGCAGATTTTCAGGCAGCTCTCGCAGGTACTGTTTCAGCAGGCTGGCCACTGTGTAGGGCTCGTATTCTTCCAGGTTAGGAGACTCTTCGCGATCATAGGCTGCTTTTAGCTCGTCAACTTTTGATTTTATTCCTTAAAATATTCAGATCAAGAATTAAGAGGAATTTCGACTCTAACCGTATAACAGTTATATTTAAACTTTTTTTTTTTTTATTTTGAAATGCACTTATTTCACCTCTCTTTACAATTTAAGCTGATTGAGGAACACCTTTTAGAAGTTATCCACATGTAACAAAGGGAAAATCACAACTCACAATTCCATGATCACTGGTTCTAAAAGCACTGACTAGTACTACGAAGCAAAACCACAGCACTGACAGAGCTCTGAATCAGAACTGCTGCTAGAATTCCCCTTCATCAAGGAACATAAAATAGGGTAAGGAAGGGTAGGGAAACGTTAAGATCAATTGTGTATTTGCATTCAGCATCTTTGTGGCTGTTCAATTCTACATCCCTAAGCCAAGCAGCAAATATGTTATCAATTCAAATATTGTGCAGTAAGTTCTACCTATAACAGCTTTCCTCTGTCAAAACAAAACCCACACTTCTTAGTTTTCAGAATTCCAGCTGGCCCTCCTCAGCAGAAGAATCTCACACAAGATTTTTGATTTGAGGCATCCTATGAATAAAAGTGTGTTCACATAATTATTCAGCCCATCCAAGATTTTCTGTAAGGTGTTTTTATAACTCAGTGACATTCTAGTCTTCCTGAACTTGGAGAAATTTCATTAAAGCTCAACACCCACTTGAGTTACACCACCTCGGTGTGCTGCCATGGTTTGGCTCATACCCAATGAGTACAACTGGGCTCACTCAGCCCAGGTAAAATAGGCTGAGTTTCATGCCCAAAATGAGCCCTCACAACAGCTGGCAATTGCAATGCAATTAAGCCAATGCAATGCTCTCTTTCAGTTCTCAGTTCAAACAATCCTACACGCACAAGAGGGTGCTGTTGCACTGGAGAACACCTACAAAGCACACAGAGCAGAAATGATTTACAGAAAACACACCTGTGAAAATTCCCAACACATAGTGTCTAGAAAAAACGAGCAACCAAAATGTTTCACGAGGTTAGACAAAGCAACTGCTTAAGCTGCTGCAGTATTTATGCATACCTACCTAATACTATGCAGATGGACAGCATGAAGACAGCTTAATGAAGCCTTTGATATCGTTTGATTACTGCTTTACAGTGCTGGCCAACCTGTTTCAAATACTTTTCCTCAAATTCCTTTTCTCCCTTGTTCTTGCCCCCTTACAGGTACCCACAGAGGTACTTACATGAGTTACATTGCTGATGTAGCTCCCAAATAAAGGGATTGTTTTGTTTAATGTGACTAAAACTGAGGTCTCATTTATGTAAGCTGGTGTTATGCAACTACCATGGCTAATTAGCCGGCTGTTGCTAAGCTTAAACAGTGAAACTTGTATTTTCTGGTTATTAGCATATTTGCTGAAAGAAAACAAGTTTTTAAGAAAAAAAATCATTCAATGGAATTAACTGGAGAAACTAACCTAGTGAGAAGTTTATGTGATAAAATGGTTACATCTCATTTTTGCTTTTGCAATCAGCTACCACTGTATTTCTACTGCAGAAGAAAAAGAATACAAGCTGGCCATACACACTTTATTCATTGTTACCATCCTATCACAAAAGGCCAAAACAGGTGAGTTTTTACTGCCATTAGGCAGTACCACCATATTAGCAATTCTTCCGGTATTTCATACCTACAGCCTTGCTTAACTTTGGCTACCTGATTAACTTCTGGATAATCAAAATTAATGCAGCTACAAACAGAGCCTCTAGGTGTTGGAAATGGTAAATAATAATAAGATTGCAAGTAAAGACCTTAGGAACCTTCATGTCAGTGTGCCCAGAGTACCTGAAACTCTGTAGATGCCTTCACATTTCATGCCATACTTCTCTACGTAATCTATACATTCACGGAAAACTGCTGGCAGGCGGATGCCATCGTACATCATGGTCCTGTCTACGGCATGAGACAAAGGAATGCCAAACACGGGTCTGTGACTCGGAACATCCACTTGAGGTATCTCTGTCTCCTGAATTGGCTTTTTCTTTTTCTTCTTCTCTTTCCACTGTTTTACAACATCTGCTGCAGTTAAGTCTTTCGACTTCTTCTCTTTATGTTTGTCTTCCTTATGTTTGTCTTCCTTGTGTTTTTCATCTTTGGGTTTCTCTTTTATCTTAAAATCCTTTTCCTTCTTTTTGGAAAAGCTGGGTTTCTTGAAGACATGTATTCCCTTGGACCGTTTCAACTTTGAAGGACTTTCAGCTTCATCACCGGAACTGTCCTCTTGAAATGCAGCATAGCCTTCCGCTGTTAGGCAAAGGAAGAGAAGGGAAGAGGACAGCTGTGAGTTTCTAAACAGCATATTGCAAGAGGGAGAGAACACAAAATCATACATAGGGAGAGAAGCAACATGAATTAAAAAATAGCACCTGCCTGACTCCTCAAAAGGTTTTCTTTGATTGTTACGTACTTTAGTGGACAACGATTAAATCAAGGTTGCATAAACACACTAAAGATAAGCCACAGAGCTCCTGAATGATCTAAACAATGAATACTTTATATACTTACTCATAATGGCAATGTCCATCTTATGGGCTAGATTCCCATCTAATAGTCAAGGAAATGCAAAATAAAAACAACTGTCTGGCAACTTCTCTATGTTCCTGTAATCAACAGTATAAGAGTTGCTGTTAAGGATCATCTACTAGATACATGTAAGTCTAACAAATATCTATTAAGAACAAACTAAGCTTCAGCCACTTAAAACCCCGATCCCCTTGAAGAATATTATGAATTTTAAGGTATAAAGTTAGTAAAGTTTCAGCCTCAAATAAAACACAGGAAAAAAATCCAGACTCAAAACTAAAAAAGCACTAGCACACTTACTTTTCACTAGATGAATAAAACAATTCCAGCAACACTAGCACAATACTTGCCCGTGAAGGTGCAGATTTGCCTTAAAAAGCATATGGGAGAGCTTCAAACAAGTCCCTGGGCTGAGTACACTGTTCCAGCAGCAAAACACCAAGTGCTGTCTAAAACATGCACCAGTGCTTTTAACTAACTACGCCTCTGCAGCCAGCCCTGCCTCGCCTTCAGGCAAGAATATGAAAATCTCTAAAGGTGGATTAACAAAAAAACCCAACCAACAAAAAAACCAACCCACAAACAACAAGCAATCCAACACAACCTCCAAGCCCACTAATTCTAATTTTACATACTCAGTACCCCATATAAGAAAAGTAAGCCTGAAACCTGGCCAACAAGGATGACATTTCATGTGCCATCTGCACCAGCCAGGTCCCCCAAGGCAGCGGGCACCAAGCTCTTGCTTCAACGTGAAGCCCCCATTACATACAGATCCTTTGAGGCTCTTCCACTACCTACGGCACTGCCTCTGCTCCAGTGAGGAGGCACTGACAGCCAAGTGCTCTTGCTGCATGAATAGTTTTGGGTAGAGGAAAATTACCCCCTTAGATAATATGAGAGCACATCATGCATAAGACTACAGGCTGTAATTTTTTTTAGGTGAAAGATCTTACACAAAAGAACCAGGGGATATTTGGTCTTTTATTCTTCCAGTTCTGAACTATACCAGGTTGCAAAGTTTCTCAGCATTACTTCAGCACATCTAAGGAGCTGTCTGTATTTTGAAGCCTCCTCAGCAGCTCTGTATTTATGTGGCTTTTAATAGCCAAATAAATACAGGAAATGTATTAAAGCATGGAAATACTATAATATAATTACAATCTAACCAGCTCAGCCTTCCCAGCTGGGACTCTTCCCCTAGGACTACCAAACACACACTTTCATAGCAGACTGTGAAAGACCAAGTGTTACTGTCCAAGTGGATTTTAATATAAAAATGCAAATGTAACTGGAGCACAACCACCAACCAGGTCTCCTCCTCTCTATTTACTGGCTATATCATTCACTGGTTTTGTAAACAAAAACCAGATATGGGTAAGGAAAACCTGCAGTACAAAAACTAAGGATTCAAATCTCACTCTTATACAGAACTGTGGATGCACCAGCTGCAGGACAAAGGAGGAGCACACATCACCATCCTGGTTTTGTGAGAATGTGACAGGGCTAGCACTGAGTTTCAAGATGGACTTCACAGATGTAATTTCCAAACAGAAAGCCATACCTTCACCAGACAGACCCCAGAACAATCTGCCCCCAGTCTTTCCTGCTGGATAGCTGAGACAGCTCCCAGTCAAAGAGCGTGGGGTTCCACATGCACACTAGGAACATGTCAGCACAGGGGATCCAACCTTGGAGGTCGGTGCCACCAAGAGAGCTCCTGCCTCACATGTCTCAACACTCCATGTTGCAACGCAAACCCTGGTGCCTTTCTAGGTCTGTGGTAATGTAGCACCAGCAACAACACATTACTGAAACTGGTAATTCTTGACTTCATGAGAGAAGACAAGAAGCAGCAAGTTAAATACAAAACCAGTCTTTTGTAATTTGTCTCAGTAACATAAGTCAACAAAGTTTAGAAATATCTACTAATACTAATACAGATTCGTAGAGCTTAACCCACTCATGCCAAGAGGGGGTTTGCACGTCTCTCAGAATAGCCCAGTTTACTTTATTGTATTTTTGGTAATAAAACTACTGCATCCCTTTCACTAGTGATGTAATATATTGAAATATAAAGAACTTAAATTTATACAGAAGAAATATTATCAAAACCACTTGACAAATCAGGTAATTCTAAATGTAGAAAGAGTATTACCTACTGTTAGCAAACTGATATTTCTGTTCATTGTTTCCTCAAGACTTCTAGTACTAATAGTCCCCATTTTCCCATCACTCTAATACATGTCAATGACATTTTCCTACATCCAGTAGGAATGTATGAGATCAGTACTAATGTAATAAATACTCAAATTCCACTGGCATGATGGACTATCTCTGCCAGTTCCCTGCTCAGGTTTTGTTAGACCTTCCTTCCACAAGCATGTCTTCACTGCAGTTATTTTAAATGTGAAGTAAAATGAATAAGATCTACTACCTACTTTATCTACAGAAAAAGTATAGCCCTTATCTTACCAAAAATTATGAAAACCTCTTTTAAAATAATAATAATAAAAAATCTAGTGTTACTTTGGAAAAATCTAACTTACAGGCTTAAAAGCTTTGTCATGCAGGAAGGCCACTATCATTCTATCACTCTGCATACTTGGGAATACTCCTCCTGCACTCTTACAACAAAGCTATAAAATCATGCTATAGTATTTATTGTTAACTCAAAGGGTTGCATTATGTAGAACTGTCACTTATCAAACAAGATACTTTTTGTCCATCATGTCTTCGATGAGTTTTGAAGTAATTTATAACTCTACAGATGATTCAGCTCCCTGGGGGAATCTGCAGCATCTGTAATTAATTCACTGAAAGAAAACATGGATGGCTTTTACATATGAAAGAATTAGTAGGTCAAATATGACCGATGTGCAATGCTAGCATTAGTTACCTAATTTGAATTTGTCAGAGGGATTGCCTTCCAACTGTACACCATTTCTAAGTAGAACTGTAAGACACATGAATGGACAATGAGCTTGGGTAGATGGATTCTGTTTCTTCTCCCTGCCCACAAGATGTATCGTTACTATCAACACAGATTTCCACCTTACAGACACTACTAACACTTACTATCCAACTTTCAATTAGAAAGGCTTGTCTTTAATATGTATTCAACTCACTGATGTGAGTACAGCAATCCCAAACAAATTCTGCATTCAGGTTACTCTGCAGAGCTACCCCAGCAGAGCAAATGAAGCTGAAATTAGAAATTTGCCTTACTTTGTTTTGATTTAAAATAATCACTGGCATTGAAAGGTAGACTTTTTAACTATTTGCAAATGGTACTTGGCTAGACAAATGCACAGTAGTATATAGAGATTCACAGTAATTTGTCAGTACAATAGGATGTAGCTACACATCCTATTTATCACAAAGAAAACCTTGATATGAAGAGCCTCTAATGTTTACCAGGGGTAGACAATTCTAGTAACTTCTTATTATGTAGATCTGAAAACTCTATTCAGAGCTTCTCCACTCATCAGATGAGTTAAAATAATGTTTTATTTGCAATAGCAGTGACTTGCTATTGCCCTCTTCTACTTCCCAAAAGAACAGTTGGACCTCCTGGCCAACACATTAGAGATTTGGCCTTCAAAAATATTTCCTGAAAATTTCAGAAGAGTTCATACTAGTTATACTACTGTTCCTTCAAAAGACAGTTTGGTTTATTATTCAATCAACTCCAGATTTTCCTAAGAATTATATTAAAAATAAGAAAATTATTCCAAACAAAAAAATCCTAGCTGCATATCGAACCCATCCCGTCCAACAGCATCAATCTCAGAAGTAAAAAGAATAAGCAAGAGTAAGATCTACCACATACAGACTCTTTATCTACAGAAACTCTAATGGGTAGAACAGATGCTTCTTCTTAAGTATTTCTTATAACCTTTTTCTTTTGCAAGGAACTGCATATTTTATGACTGTATCAACACATGATTACTGACAGGTATTTAAACATTAAAAAAAAAAATCAATTACATTGGTCACTGTCTCAGATAATCCATTACTGCCTAAAACAGATCCATTTTTGCTCTCCTGCTGTCACAGTACAAGTTCTGATTCTATCAGGGAACAGATCTCATTTAAAACTATGCCACTAAAAAGAAAATTCCTTTTAATCCCTAATAAATCCCCTAATCTAACTCACTCCACAGCCAACCAACACCCAGTCTATCACAGAGGAGTGGAGAATAGAAATTAGTGGCTGAGATACTTTTCTAGCAGTTGACGTTCCATGTAAAAAACAATATTCCATTTAATTTTCTATTATCTCCAAAACATTTCTAGCATTTTTCCTCCAGAATAATTGCTGTGTATTATTAGATTACTGCCATTAACATGAAAAATATCAAATCATTATATTAACCACATAGGAAAAAATGCTTTTTTGATAAAGGTACTAATAATGAAGATAAGAGTGCATCGCTCTTGAAAACAGGATTGACCTAAAAAACTAAAATGAATAACTGTGGGATATTTATCCTTCCCTCTCTATAAACCCTCCTGTGCTTCAAGCACTACTGAAGTTTACATTTAGAGTATTATCAAAATAGCCCAAGGTACAGTTACAGTTTCAGGAGTTAGGATGACCTTGTCATTAGTTCACTAATTGCAAATTCAACAAACTCTGCCACAATGTAATGTCCACTTGTTGTTTTTATACTGACATGTTCAGTTATATTTGTTTAAGCCCCAAACTACATGATCATGGCAGGTTGTCCAAAATCAAAGCAGGTAGTCAAAAAATATGAAAAGAAAGAATCTGAACACATGTAACAGAATTTAAAAGTTGGAAGAAACTGAAGAATCAGAAGTATGGGAGGAATAAAAAATGTCAAAGCTAGAAGGAAACTCTTAAAAATCAACCATGATAAGCAACTGTAAAGAACCCTTGTCATTTACACAAGCAAAATGCCTGTTCAGGGCATATTTACAATAATGACTACTTTTGGACTGTATGAGATGTACTGAAAGCTTTGTATGTAACTCACTGTTCTATCTGACCAGCAATTACATGACAGATATGTATTAGGGCTAAGAAACGATGAATACTTTTTACATTAGAGTTGCAAGAGATGATTTGGTTCTTCCTATGTTTTACATTTTTGTGTTCTTTGAGGATTTTTCATACCTTCAAGGTGTCTTTTAAGTAACAAGAACTGCTTTAAATCAGCTATAAAATGTGTTGCAATTTCTTGCAGAAGAAAGCAGCTACTGTGCTAGTGTGCACAGACCTGCATGGATTTGCTGAAGAAGCATTTTTCCTCTTAAACAACAGCCTTCATTTAGATTATCACCATGAGCCATGCTGAATTCAACCACAAAGAAACCCACATGATGGATAACGCTGATCTCTACCAAATTTAGAGGTGTGCAATGCAGAACTATAACAGAAAGCTTGTTTGCAAAAAAAAAAAGCAAATACTGATAGCCTGAATTTAGACCCAGCCAATCAGCAACGAATTTTCATCACCAATTCAGTAATCTCTATTAGGTTACTGTTGTTTACATTAGAGAAAAACGAATCATTTTTGTTAAAACTTGTAGGAATTTCAACTCTTGGTTTTTACCTGAGGATGCATTTTTCAGTTACAGTATTCTTCAAGCACACGGTTTTTAGTTAAAGCAGGAATAGTCCTTCTGAACTGCAGTAGAAACAATTCCTGTATTCCAGGAAACTGCTTTGATTAAAAGCAGTGACAGCAAATTATTAAAGAGTAATTATTTAAGTATGTGCATGCACGTTACAGTCACCATATTAATTCCAACAGCATACTGTGTGCTGTCTCGTTGTTTCTGATCTTCCAAATTCCACATGTAAGAAGTAGCAAGATACACTGACATCAAAGATAGAGGTATTGAAGAGGAACATTATTTTGAAATTGTGCTAAAACAAATGTCAGTTAAAAAGCACTAGCACGTAGGATGTGATATTTAGGTTTGAGAGACTTGAACAGTAAGTGTCTCTGGTACTGAGAGAGTTAAGTTATCAGCTCAGTATTTCCAAGTGCTTTGTTCTTTCGGAATATGTAGAAAAACATTCTTGAATAAAATCTTGCACGTTTCCAAAATTTTCTGCACAAATCTAAAGGTGGAAGGTAAGGTTTCTGTTGTTTTGGAGAAAGACAAAGAATGGATTATATAGTCAAAGCTCTACTTTCTTCTAACCTTTGCTCTGTCACTTCTGGAAAATTCAGATCTCAGTGCTGGTTTGCATATTTTTGACCTCTGCAATAATACTTTGGCACTGTGGAGGAACCTGCATGATCAGAGTAAACTGAGAAGCTAGAGAAAAGAAGGTCACAGATTTTACTACTCCCCAAATAATGGTGTAGTGTGCACATGAAAATTTGAAAAGGTACGGGAGACACATGGAAAAAAGGTTAAAGTTGTTGAAAGTGACTCTTCCAAATTTCCAAGTATAAGATTCAGGTCAAACATACAGTTTTATTTTAGACAGCACCTCAGCTACAATTAAAAAAGGACCTATTTGGAAATACATTTGAAAACCTCCACGTAGAACGTGAACCGATAATGAGATTAGAAAAACCCATGCAAGGCATTTATCAATGCATCATTAAAGGTTTTGGATAAACACAATTTCTTAGTAACTCTGGGCACACTTTTGGTACCTGTATCTGTGCAACAAAAACCAAAACCAACTGTTTGGTTAAGGCGTCGGTTTTTCTGAAAGAGATATAGGTCCTGCACAAGGCCTGTTTGTAACAAGTTAACTTCCTTCACACCTAAACAAGTTCAAAAAAACCCAGTGGGAATACTAAGCAATTTTGAGAGAGAGAGAAAGAAAGAAACATTAAAAGCATCAAATTACAAAGAGAAGTTGTCTACTCACTTCTTTTTTCTTTTTTCTTAAATTTTCCTTTCTTCTTCCCATGCTCCTTTTCATCATCAGATATTATATCTGGAGGCTCATGTAAGCTGTCATGAGGGGGTGAAGGCTCACCGGTGCGGTACAATCCAGGGAATTTTGTAGGACTGATTTCTTCAGAGCTGGGAGTACGGGCAAGACCCCCACTGTGCTCTACCCGACGGTGTTCACTGGGGCTGCTGGTGGGAGGCAGGAAGCACTCGGTCATTCTGATTCCCTGATATCAAAGCGAAATCTTCTGCTACCTGTCCATCACACCTGCAGCAGGGGAAAACAAAAAGAAACCCACACTATTTTAATCAATGAATTTCAGAACCCCTTGTTTAGAGCTCTATCCTGAAATCACAAACACCACCTTCTACAATGAATCTTCCAACTTATGTCAAGACACAGCAACACAACATCAGCTCAGCGTTTGCCGAATCTGTTCATTAACTCCTAAGCCATATTAACATAATATGAGAGCTGCTATTTTAGCCATTTCTACTTTATAGCAGATAAAATATATATTTAAGTATCAGAACACTTTAACAGTTGAAATAATTCTTACAAAATTCACAGGCATCTTGCATACTGATTGCTAAAAATTACTACAAATAGTCAGCTAACTTTAAGTTTTTGACATAAAATGGATTTGTCTGGAAGCTCAGAGTGTTTGTGAGCACTGCCCTTAAGGCAAAGATGATTTTCATCTTTCCCAAGCAGATTTTATAGATGCAAACAAGAACTCGCCTAGCCTGTTGCAATAAAGGGGAAAAAAAAATAAAATAAATAGAGTCAAAGCAAATCCATCTTTTAATTATGCAAATGCAAATTAAAGAAGGTAAAAGAATGATAAAGTTTTTCTGGTACACTACAACTTCACCTTTGAAGAGGTTATATCAGGTTATCTGCACCCAGATGCTGGTACATTTGCTTGAGAGTTACAGACAAATAAATGATAATAAAAAAAATTACTGAAGGAAACCAATACATAAATTCTCAGCAGTGGAACTTGTAAGCAAAAAGCCTCTTCCTAGTACAGACAAATTTCAGAAATTCCACAGAACAGGTATGCTGTATGGGACATCACACCTCTGGAGTCCACTTGGTTGAACTTGGCCCCTTGTATCTAAACGGTCACAAAGGATTTTGTTGTATTTTGTTATATTTTTAATTGATATCAAATACTCCTCTGTCATGCTTATTTGATACTGTATTTAAACAAGTAAATGGCATGCTCAAACATGGGATTTCATGAAAAATGTCCAGGTATCTAAAGCTTCAGAATTACAGCTATCAAAAAAGGTCAAAATTTTCAACTATATAAGCATTTTCAGTATTGCCAATGACAAAGACTGGTAATACTATTGCATCTCATCTCAGTATCAGAATGATCTGTAAAATTCCTGCACAGCACCTGTTTGCATTTCATAACCAATCCCTCAGCCCTGCTCCAAGAAAAACAGAACCAAAACCACCCCACCAGCAGCTGCTAAACAACAGACGGTATTTCAATAATAATTAATGGAATTAAATTAGAAATATTGCATAAAGTTTTTTTAAATGAACAGGATGGATGGTACCTACAAATCAGTCCATGTTTAGAGTGGACAAGGTGGGCAAGTGCACAGAAGGAAAGAACAAGGTCATTGCAAAGGCACAGACCATCACCCTGGAAAATGAGGACACACAGGCTTTGCTTCTGGAACCCAGCAGAGCTTCTGGGATTAAGACAGACTTAGCCCATACATTCCACAACACTGTTCAGCAGTATCACTCAACCCCCAGGGTTTTATTTACAGATTGGTAGCATACAGAAAAAATATAACACAGAATTGTGTTCTGCCAGGTTAATAATTAGAGATGTGTCCAGCTAAGTGGGTTTTGGGGAGGGTGGTTGGTTTATTTTTTTGGGGATGCAATTTTTTATCTCAGTTTTTTAATTCTCATCCTTCAGCTCCCTGTATACAGATCAGAGTGAAATTTTAATGTATGTATGCACTAGTACCTCACTACAGGAGATCACTCACAGTGCTTATGGAAATTATCAGTTACTCAGATCAGAATTTGAATAGGGCACAGTAAGACACAGAATTATGATGAGAAACAAAATATTCATGAGGTCTTTTAATACTGTTCATTCTTTATTTTGGCTAAAGCAGAGACTAGCTAAAAATAAAGATAATGGCGTATATTTGTAAATGCAACAAATTAAGACTGCATTTAGGTTTAATTTTTTTTATTTTACAGCTTAAAGAAGAATTACTTTCCTATATGCATAATTTCCTAGGCCTTTAAATAAGGGAGAAATTCTAGAATGCTCAAATTATATCATGATGTATCAGCAGAATGAGAGCCTTTAAGCCTACTGCAAAAACCTCTTCCACTTTTGCTAATGGATGTTAATGTATTACTGCCATAGAAATCCACACTTTTCCTCTCGCTTTTACAATTTTTTCTGACAAATAAATGGTGAAACTGAAAAAATCAGGGATCTTCTAGGCATTCTGAGAAGGAACATTTCCAACAGGCTCAGTCTTCTGCCAACTTCTCCCTCTCAGACTTGACCCTTTCTTCCCAATCTGTTACTGCTGCAGTCCTGCCTCTCCTCTGCAGCAGGTTCCCTCCTTCAGACTGCTTTCCCTCACCTTTACAGTTCTCATCTGTCAGGAGATTTAAGAGCTCACTTCTACCACATGAGGCCATACCCCCCCCCATTAACTCTCCCCTGCCTCCAATTATAGTAGTTTGTTCTCTCAAGGTCCCTTTGTGAGATGACTCAAGTTGCTGGCTGCTCCAACAGGCTTCTGCTGCTGAGCTGGTGTGTGGAAGAGCTCAACAAGCACTAACAGTGACAAACAGAGAAGTAGCAGAACCACAGTGACAGGAGTGCAACCTCCCTCTTTGGGCAGCTCTGTTTTGTGATTCTGCATGCAAAACTTCATCTCCTCAGACTTCAAATAATTCGTAGTATCTTTGTCACAACATAAAGCTTTGACTTCTTTACTACCCAGTGTCAGTACTCCCACGGTTCTTGTCTTGACTCAGTACTCTTTTTTCACCCTCAGTGTATCACACACAACATAATCTTCATCTGCTTTGGTCTCTGTGACCCAAGTTCAGTCTCCCACTTTCCCCTCATCTTGTTCTTTAGGTAGTTCCTACTCTCCTGCTGCAGACTGCTTTCTTGTAGATAAACTACTCCCTTTTCTTCCTCTGTTTCTTCTATTCTGGATGTTGTTCTCTGCTGCAGTCTTTTGTTTCCTCATGATTATCTACCTCATTTCTCATCTTGTCCCCATTTCTCCTACGGGCTCTCATTCTCTCCCTAGTATCACAAGAAGTCACCTTCTTCCTTACCTCCCTACCAACAGAACACTCCTTGACACCCACCACTTCTCGTTCACTTGACATTTGATTCTGCTTCCACAGGAACCACAAATGCTGCTACATGACAGCACCAGAGAGCTTCTTGCAGTTCAAGCACCTCCTCGGACCTCGCTACTTTTTCCAGTACTCCCAAAATGCAGTTTCTTGAACCATCTTCCTGCTCAACATTGAGTCAAGCCTGCAGAATAACTGAATGTCAAAAATAAGCCTTCACTGAACATGTGCAGAATTGTGACCTTTCCTCTATCCCCCAAGGAAAGACTAAATTATAAGACATTTTAAACATGGAAATAAAGTATGTCACTAACACAAAACTTCTTACACATCACACCATTACCATCATTCTAGATCATACACCAAGCACGGGAAAGTGAGCTGGGGAAAGGAAGAAAGATGCCTGCATAGGCAAAATAATGTGGTTTTCCAAGCGTCATTTTTGAAAATAACTGAACTCTTTCCTAAAAAAATTCAGTCTGAGCTACATATCTAGTAAGTAAAGATGAGGTTTAGAAAACCATAGAAAAGAGAAGACAAGAGAGACATGACAGCCAACTTTAACAGGTCTCACTTGTAACAGTGTGTCATCTAGGCACGAACACATTAAAGAGAGGCACAGTTTGAAAGACCGAACTCACAGCTTTTCATTCAGTACAGAAGGCTCCATTATTTCTGTTTTGCACTGAGTCTATTGTGACTTTCTGCCTTGTAACCAATTGCAACAGCAGAAGCAAACTACAGCAGGTGATTTCATGCACAGATGTTATTTTGTAAAGCTGCTGGGCGGAATGGAGGACATGGAGTTTTTCTGCAACAAGCATTATGCAAGACCACATGTGAAGCACAGTGGGTGTCCCCAGGTCATTCCATTTTGGCACAAACAGACACCCTCTGAATATCTGGGTGTTACACTGAAAATAATCCCAAGAAGTCAGTAATCAAAGGATGGAGGCAGAGTGGGGACTCTCACTCAGCTACCAGTACCTGCTCTGTCAGAACTACCCAAAAGCAAGGCTGAGAGAACAGCAGTACCTCATCATCACGGACCTTCAGTCCAAAAGATCTGGACATGTTTAAGAATCTGATAGTACTTGAAGAAATGAGGCACATCAGGTTTAGACAAAAATTATCCTGTAACAAACACAGCTCCATTTTGGAAAGTAATGAACTATAAGAGGAAAGAATAAAAACCACCATCTGTGGTCTAAGTATGTCAAAACACTTCGGAAACCATGAGTGGTACTCATATAACTGCTGAGACTTTTCAATAAGATGAGAAGTCTGAGTTAGAAGTTATTCATCAAGACTATACAGGGTCTGTGTCACATCTAAGTTCTGTATCTATTGCACTTTTTCCAACATACTGAAAGGCTTAATACAAATCACTGCTTTCACTTGAACATTTCTTAGACTGAAATGCTGCCATACAGTCAAGTGTCAAAATGACATCAGAGGCCATCTGTTCCATTTAACAAGCAGTAGCCAGGTACAAAAACAGAACCCTTTCCTTTCTTTAATAAGGCAACATGGCCATGAAAGGAGAAGGAATAGGGAAGTACTTCATGTAGACAGGCAAAGCAAGTCACGAGTAATCACACAAACACAGCGTTAAGTAACTCCCTTGTGAGTCACACACTCTTCATAGCTGGCAAGAATTAAAGCCTCAAGAAGGGACTTAGCAAAATTTTTTTGGATAAGGAGAATAAAATACAAACTGTTTAGCAGCATTCAGCTCCTAAACCTCAGATTACTTTACAGCATATGTGATCCTATCAGAATGTTAGAAAATCTACTTCGAAGGAGAGTGTGCAATCATACAATTGAAGCTGCAGAGGAGCAAGCTGTACATTCAAAAATAATGTCAGCATCAAATCAGCTCTAAAAGTAAC